GCTTCTATTTCTTGGCTTCTTGGTAATCTTCATGTGGTGAGGATTCTATCTTCCCCCATCTCTGCTACTTCTCTATGTCTGATCTGCATGGTTTATATCTCAAAAGAGATTAATGTAATATGTACCCTACATTAATACTGCCACATTGACATAACAAAGACAACCCATTCCCAAATGGGATTGCAGTCACAGGGGCAGGGGTTAGGATTTACAACACATATTTTTTTTGGGAGACAATTCAGTCCGTAACAAGGCACTTCTAAATTTGTTCCATCTTGTTTCTTTTCTGACTTCATGTCTTTTTTTTCCCTTTTCAAAAGGAGTACTACGTTCAATGTAATCTTTGGTCTCAGCTTGTGCAATAGGTTTTATATTCAACTTTACCTGAGTGAAGGAGCTCTGGTGGTATAGTGCCTAAGGCATTTGACTGCTAACCAGAAGGCTGGAAGTTCAAACCCACCAGCCACTCCACGGAAGGACAACTGGGCAATCTACTTCCGTAAAGATTTACCACCTTGAAAACCCAAAGAGGGTCCCTATGAGTCAAAATTGATAGCAGTGACTTTGTTTTTTTGTTTGTTTGTTTTTACCTGAGTGTGTCATGACTAAATAAAAAAGTTGAAAAGCAGCAAACCTTATCAAGGGACAAGGCAAAAATATACAGATAATGAAAATAACATTACTAGATAATATGCAGGAGCTCTGGTGACATAGTGCCTAAGGCATTTTTGACTGCTAACCAGAAGGCTGGCAATTCAAACCCACCAGCCACTCCTTGGGAGGAAGGTTGGGCAATCTACTTTTGTAGTGATACCACCTTGGAAACCAAAAGAGGGGTTGCTATGAGATCCAACTCAACAGCAGTGAGTTTGGGTTTTTTGGTTGTTTTTTTTTTTTTTTTTTTTGAGGTAATATGCATTTTTGAATTGTGTTGTCTCAAAGAGAAAACTATTGTTAAACTTGAGATCACAATGTACATCTTAATCTTGAAACACATCCACTCATGTTTAGACTAGGGTTTTGCATATATTTTTTATAACGTTTCTTGAAAGCATTAGCATGAATTTATTTTGTCATCTGTCCCTACCCACGTATGCAATAAAGTTATCAAATGACTAGCAATTAAAAAGAAAGGAAGGAAGGAAGGATGGGTGGGCCCGGGGCTCTTATGTCCAAAAGTAGGAGCAGACCTCACCCTTAGGTGGTGGAAGGCAGCTCCCTACCAGGTGGCAGCCACTATGTGACAGAGGTGGTATGTTTGGTTGGCCAGGGGCTGGGAAGCAAATGTGACATTCACCTTCCAAAAACACCCTAACCTGCTCTCAGGCTTTGAAGAATACAACCATGGAATAGGGAACAGAACTTTGAACTTGAATCCTGGCTTTGTGTCCCCTATCTGGCTGTGCAACTTCGGGCAAGTCACCCTGCCTCGCACACAGGAGAAACAAGACATTCCTCTGAGGTCACAAAGCTGGGAGGCTTTCACATGGGAGGGGGCATGTGAAAGGATGGGTGGGTAGCAAAGTTTAGGGTTAGGCCTCAACTCTGCATACCCACAAGCTGCTTTTGACTTTGATGGGGCTCTGGGGGCCAACTCCTGTCAACCACGTAATATGTTGAGGGACATATTCATAAACCAGACCCAAGTTCCTGCAGAGCCCAGAACTCTTGTGGCCATTCTGAACTGCTTCATTTCTGGTGTTAAATAGGCTACCAAGTTCAGCTCAGAGGAAAGACTCTGGATTCAGGTTTTAGGGCTATGAGACCCTGTTCAGATTGCTCCCTGTCTTGGTGCTGTAGTCAAGGTTTAAGAAGTTCATGCATGTAGCAAAAGCCTGGCACACAGCAGGTGTCCTTAAGGGACAGACATTATTGCTTTGACTGTTGTTGTTGTTATGTGCCGTGGAGTCAGACCTGACTCACAGAGACCCCTCCTTGGGTTTCCGAGGCAGTATCATTACAGAAGTAGATGTCCAAACTTCCTTCCCAGGAGTGGCTGGTGGATTTGAACCGCCAGCCTTCTGGTTAGCAGTCAAGTGCCTTAGGCACTGTGCTACCAGAGCTCCTATTACTTTGACTAGGAACACAAAATAGAACTGTGCTTAACCCCAAATAGTACAAACTGGTTGGAGTTGCACTTTAGCTCCCCTTACTTGCTATGTAATCTTGGGCAAATTGCTTAACATCTCAGTGCCTCAGTTTTTCCATCTGTAAAATAGGAGTGATAATAAAACCTACCTCACAGGACTGATAAATGAAATCATGGATGGGATTTGCTTGGCACCATGCCAGGTACTCAATAGATGTTTGATAAATTAGCATCTTTTTTTTTTTTTTTTTTATTTTAATTGTGATTTGGGTGAAACTTTACTGAGCAAATTCATTTCCCGTACAGTATTTCATATACATTTTGCTTAAATTAGCATTTTTTTATAATAGTTACTTCCTCTCAGAATTGGTAATAAGTGGTTGGGATTAAAGTAAGGGGAGGAGGAAGTATCCTGGGGACTATTTTCACAGATGCCGGAGTAAAGAGAACCCAATCTGCCTCCTCTCTTTTTTCTTTGTCTCTTTAATTATCTGCCTCTGACTTTTTCTCTTCGTCTCTGCCTCTCTCTCCCCCTACCCCTCTCCTCTCCGTCTCTCCCTGGGTCTCTCTTTGCGGCTGTTTCTTTCGGGCAGTGCTGCGCGGGAACTAGCACTGGCTCTGGGGAGCTGATTCTGCGCATTTCTTCCCAACCAACTCAGCGCTCAATGAAGTCACGTCGGTAGCTTGAAATTGGCCATAGTGGGAATATTGACACCATGGAAATCAGCAAATGCTTCAGATCAGGCCTTTATGTTTTGTTCTTTTCTTGAGAGCTGGCTTACCAGCTCACCACTTTGTGTTTCTCTTTGTCTCTTCTTTCTCTCTCTCTATCCTTGCATCTCTCATAGTCTGCATCTCTCTGGCTCTCTCGATCTCCTTGTCTTTTTGTACCTCTCCGTTTCTGTGTCTCTCTCTGCCTCTTCTTTTTCTCTCCCCATCTCCCTCCCACAGAGCTACACAAGCATGGCATATTCAGTGTGACCCCTCTCATTGCCCCGGGCCAGGCAGATGCCAGATCCTGTGCCTCACACCCTCACCCCACATCCTCCAACGCCATCAGCCATCAGCGTGGCTGGTCCACAGAAAGCTAGGCCCAGGAGGGGCTTCCCTCCATCAGTCCTGGGAGTGCATCACCACTGACTGTGACTCCTGATTGGCTCCTGCTGTCGGCCCTACCAGGCCTCTTCCTCAGCCTGCAGAGCTCCACACCTCTTTTTCAGAAGCTGTCAGCCTCTGACCTCCTCCCCCCCTGATTTCCAGGCATGGCTGGAAATTCAGGGCTCCCCTTGAACTGGTGTAGAAGCCTTGTAGCAATGTGTACTTGAGTCAGTGACGTCACGAGGGGACATGGGGCCTGCAGACCACACTGGATGACACTCTCAGAGGGGGAGACACCAGAATGACTGTCTATAAAATTTGTGTGCAGCATTTCAGCAGAAATTTATTATATTTAATAAAACTATTCCTGTAGTTAGTTACAACAACAACAACAAAAAAAACAACATTTTTTGTAAACCCAGCTTATATATATATCCATATACCTACAAGGCTAAAATTCTATGCCAATTTACTCTTTGGTGTAATGGTTAAAGCATTTGGATGCTAACCAAAAGGTTGGCGGTTTGAACCCACCATCTGTTCCTTGGGAGAAAGATAAGGCAATCTACTTCCATAGAGGTTACAGCCTTGGAAACCCTAAGGAGCAGTTCTACTCTGTCCTATAGGGTCTCTATGAGTCAGAATTAACTTGATAGAAGTATTTTTTTTTTTTTTTTAATGTGCTCCAGTCAGAGCTGCTATTATTACCCAATCACAGTGAAGCTTCAAATCATGCGGTTTCATCTGCATGCCACTGCAAGCACACACTAATGTTTTTCATGCTCCTGGACTCCATAAGGGGTTGGGGTGACACCATGTGTTACCACATTGGGCGACACCAACTCTGGTGAAGCCACTGACTTGAGTATTGTTGGAAGTGGCAACATTGTACCTGTCTGTGTAAAGGTTGTATCAATTTGTATCTCATAGAGAGGAGCTCTGTGTTTGAGGGTAGAGGGGAGGCTGTGTGTGTCCCTATGGGGCTCTTTGCTTCTGTGCGTGGTTACAGGAATGACTGTGACTGTTAATGTCTGTGACAGGCAGTGAAGAGAAGTGGTTGAGAGTTCAGACTCTGGAACCAAATGCCAAGATACATCATCTGTGTGACCTTGGGCAAGTTTCTAAACCTCTCTTTGTCTCAGTTTCCTCATCAATAATAGTAATACTTACCTCATAGGTTGTTGTGAGAGTAAAATGGGTATTATATGTAAAATGTAATTCCTGGCATATAGTAAATGCTATAAATTCTGTATTTGCTATTTTTTGTGGAAAGGCTGTGTATCTATATGCAGATGCCTCTGTGTGTGTGTGTGTACTGGGAGTGTGTGTGGAGGTGTGTATATATAGATAGGTATATTTGAAGATGTCTGTGTCCGTGAATCTATACTGGGAAACTCAGAATCTCTGTATGTGAGGTGGTATGTGTAGCTGAAGTAATGTGTGTCCGCAAATGTGTTGGATGTGGATGTAGGTTGTATATGCTTTTTGGAGACCTTTATTCTCACCCTGTAACCCTTGTGCTCTTATCCCCAACTCTCCTCTCACCAGCCCCTGAATTCTCTTCAGCTGGGCCCTGGGTGCCCCTTCCCCATCTCCCTATCTCCATCCTCCTCTGCCCTCCTGCTACGGCCTTGCAGACAGTGATTCCACCCTGAGGGGAGGGGTCCTGGGGTGAAGATCTCAGCAATGGCTTGGTGAACAGGGGCTATTTTAGGGCAGGCCTCTCACCACAGGCCGCCTCACAGTTCACCACATGGGTGATTTTTCTATCACCCCACCCCCACCTGACACATTCAGGAGCACAGTTACACTGAAGGGTGAGATGGGTTGGTGGGGCTAGGGTGGGACTCAGGGCACTGATGTGATAGATCCATTGGCCAGGCAGCTGGACCTGGAGCTCTGGGAATGCTTCCTGGAAGAGGTGAGTGATGCTAGGTAAGAGGGACAAGATCCAGAGAAGAGGAAGATTCCATAAGGGGACCGAAAGACAAGGTGGAAGCCATTGTCCTTAGGGCCCTTGGGCCCTTCTGGAGGAAATCAGGGTTCATTGGGTCAGCCCCACCCCACAACTCTCCATTCCTCTAACATCTTAGGAAACCAAGTCCTCCCCCCAGCCAGTTCCTCTCTGAGTGTTGCAATGGCCATTTCTGACGGAGGGTGGAGGACCCTTGCTCAATGACCCATCTACATTGTCGCTCAAAGGAAAGAGCTGCCAGGAAAGGCATTTGGGAGGTTCCCCCAGGGACGCTAGTGGCCCTAGGGTCTGGGCTGGGCCTTTTGCTGATATGAGTAGAGCTCTGGAGGTAGATATGCACCTTTTCTCTGTCACAAAAGGTGACCCTGGGGCTGCTGAGGTTTACCCAGCCTGAGCTGGGAACAGAGGCAGGGTCCAGGAAAGAGCTTGTTTTAAGAGACAGTGACTTGGGGCCTCTGAGCAGGGCTGCTAAAAATCCAATTAGAACGATGGGTAAATATAAAATACAGGAGTCTGAGTATGCCCAAGAGGCGCCCATGTGTGTGGATATATGTGTGTGCTACAGTGCATCAGGGCCTGGGCTGGTGCAAGAGTTAGTCTGTGCTGGTGTGTAGCGGTGTTGGCGAGCCCGTTCATGCAAATGTACACTGTGAGTGTTGGTGTGACTGTGTGCTGGTGTGTGTGTGACTGTGTTGATGTGTTGGATGCATATGAATGTGAGAGGGTTGGTGTGGGTGGTGTATCCTGCATGAAGGTGAATGTGTAAGTGTGCCAGAGTGGTAAGAAGGAAAATGAAGGCAGGAGTCATGCTGGGCTGAGCCCAGGCCCTCTGGCTTCCTGAGACAGCAGGAGGTGGGCAGCTGCTTGCAGGAACACTGGCAAGGCCTTTGACTTCTGTGTCCTTCTGTTTTGTCCTCAGGTCTCTGGCCCTTCCCAAAGACCATGCCACAGCCTCACTGACCCAGGAGTTGAGGCCTGAGGGGTAAGTGGATAGAGTGGGAGTAGAGGGTTTTCAGAGTCAGGAAATTGGGTGGGGGTGGCCTTCCTGGTCCCCACAGTTCCTCACAGCCCCCTCCTTCTACACAGGTCTGTTGCTAGGTAACAGATGGGGGGAACCAGAATGAGGCAGCTTGAGAGGCCGGAGGCTGGACCCACAACGGGAAATGGCCTTGATCCCCCTCTGCAGGGAATCTCCAGGTGCAGGCACACAGCTCTTGCACACACTCACACACAAACACACATAGACACGCACATACCCAAACAGAGAGAGAGACACACACACAGATGCACAGAGACATGCATGCATACTGACACAAACCTGCCCACACAGGCACATATGGTCCCACCCAGAGCTATGCACATAGTTACAGATACAGAGACACAGAAACGCCTGCACACCCAGACCTGCCTGCACAGAGATACACACACATGCACCCATACAGAGACAGACACACACATACACACTCACATAGAGACACATACATACTCAAACTCCTCCAAATGTGCACACACATGAGAACCATGCACAGGTGCAAAGATGTGTACATGTACTCAGATACATAGACACAGGCATTCACACAGGTACATGTACACAGAGCCATACTCCCACAAGCAAACTGACACATATTTAGAGACACACAAAAGATACACATGTACCAGCACACTGAAGGAGTCACAGAAACATAACCTGTTGAAACAGTTGGAAGCAAAAATATATAAACACAGCAACATCCCAATGTGGAGAAGCAAGCAGCCACAGAGCTGTACACTTGAATGGACAGGAAGCTGTACACTGAGGACACACATATCACACATAACCCACCCAGGCAGCCAGGAGGCAGGCCCAACAGGGGCACCTGTGTGAGCATGCGTGCACATGTGCATAGGGTGGTGTACCTGGTAGGATCCCTGAATGAGACATGCCCTTGTTCTATAGCGGGCACCTGGAATGGGCTGTGTGTTCTGCAAGAAGGTGGAGTCGGCGTCCAAGGATGATAGTGGCCTGGAAGGAGACTTCAGGGGCTATGGGGCTGCAGACCGCTATGGCCCTGACCCCACGCAGGACCAGCCTGTGTCCTCCTTTGCCCACATTCCCAACTACAACAACTTCTCCCCTCAGCCCACCAGCACTGCCTTCCTTGATGGTGGCATCATCAGGGGTATCTCAGGTGAGTCCAGTAGGCTGGGGTGAGGGCTGAGGGTATGTGGTGCTGGAGGCAGGTGACCTGGACCCTAGGAGAAACTGGGAGAGAGGGGAGTTGTTATTGTTGTTATGTGCCATGGAGTCAGACCCGACTCATAGCGACCCCTCCTTGGCTTTCCCAGACAGTATCACTACGGAAGTAGATTGCCCAACCTTCCTTCCAAGGGGGAGGGGAGGCTGGGGTCTTATTCTTAGAAGCCTCCAGTGTGATAAGGGAGACAGAGCCCTGCTTTCAGGAGCACACAGTCTGAGGGGGTATGTCCAGCCAGCCCTGTTCTCAGAAACTCCAGTCTGAGGGTAGGGACAGAGCTCTGTTCTCAGAGGCCTCCAGTCTGAGAGGGGGACTCAGGTGCCAGATACAAGTGGTAAAGAGAACCCTCTTGTTCTCTTGGGTGCAGTCTCCTAGGTGAAGCCTTCCTTCTGGGAAAGAGGAGGAGTGGACAATCTGGAGAATTCCCAGGGTGGAAGAGCTAGGCTTGAACATGTGTGTCCTAAATCCTTGGAGGCCCAAGCTATGAAGCCCAAATCAGAAACCCACTGGACTCCAAAGGCCTTAGAGAACCAGGGCAGTGCAGTAAGGGGTGTGGTGGGGCACAGCACAGGGTTGGGAAAAAGGACTGATGAGTGCCCCCTGTCCTGTGTCCTATCCTACTAAACAACCTTAACCTTGGCAGGGACTGGTGTGACCCTGTTCATCGCCCTGTATGACTATGAGGCCCGGACAGAGGATGACCTCACCTTCACCAAGGGCGAGAAGTTCCATATCCTGAACAATACGTAAGTGACCAGGCCACCTAGCTCAGTGCATGGCCTCAGCTGGGAACAAGACCGGGAAAAGAATCCTACCTGGTCCTTGTTCTCAGAATGCTCCCAGCCTAGTAGGGGAACCAGACACATCACACACTCACAGTAAGTGGTTGATCGTTACTGTACGGGGAAAGCATAAGGGAGTATGGGCACAGAGAGACACCAAACACAGTCCCCAGGGTGGGGGTGGTCAGGGCAGGTTCCTTAGAGTTGGCGATTTCTAAGCTGAGACTGGAAAGATGAATAGACATCAAAGGAATTGGTGAGAAAACAGAGTGAGAGAGCATGAGAGTGAATAATGGCTTCCGGGAACCACAGTGGCTCAGTACAGGTGGATGGGGAATGTGAGGAGAGCTGGAAAGGGGGGTGGAAACAGGGTCAACAGGGCTTTTTAAGCCTTGCTGAGCATCTAGATTTTATGCAGAAGGAAATGTGATGCCATTGGAGGCTTTTTCAGTGGGGAAGTGACCTAGTTGACCATACACTAAATCCTTGACCTCCAGTTGAAGAATCAGGGAAGGAAGTCAGGAGGCCCAGGTGTCCCCAAACATCTCCCTACCTCAGGGAGAAACCTTCCTAAGCAGCTGCAATAGCTGTGGGCAGAGTAGAGAAAAGCTCCTGGGTGAGTGGGGGGTGTCCAAGGTGAGAGGTTGGCAGGGATGGTCTCTGCCAGATCCTCAGTGTGGCCCTGCCTGGAGGGATGCTACCACTAACTACCTCCCTGCTCTGTGCCTGCAGTGAAGGTGACTGGTGGGAGGCTCGGTCCCTCACCTCTGGACAAACTGGCTACATTCCCAGCAACTACGTGGCCCCTGTGGACTCCATCCAGGCTGAAGAGTGAGTGTGGGTGGGAGGGAGGCCAGTCCTGGGCTAGGGCTGGGAGCAAGACCCAGAGGCTGCCTCTTGGACAAGTCACTGCTTCCCTCTGAGCCTCAGTCTACTTACCTACAGTTTTGTAAGATCATTGTGAGACTAAAAGACTATAATGATGATAACAATTATATTAGATAACACCAGCACGTATTATATTCTCGGCACTATTTAAAGTGCTTTCCACATATTAACCGAGTTAGAAAATACTATGATATTTTACAAATGAGGAAACTGAGGTACAGAGAAATTAAACAGCATGCCCAAGTTCACATAGCTTGTAAGTAGGTGAAGCTGGTATTAGAACCCAGGTGGTCTGGCTATATTTGCTAAGCTGTATACATACTGCCTCTCAGTGATAACAATGATGTATGAACTTTAAAAATTATAAAATGCTAAACAAATGCAAGGGGCATTACTTAGAATCAATTATATGAAAGAGGCAGGGGATTACCATTAGCAGGTACTCTGCCCACTTTTAATTCATTCAATTCTCACAATAACACTATTGATGTTAGTGTTGTTCTATTTTACAGATGAGGAAACTGGGGCTGATAAAAGCTTTCTTCTTTATCTTCATGTATGCGTGTATACATACATGGAAACAGAAAGGATTGGAGACATTTTGCAGTGTGCACCAGGACTTAGTGACTGACTTGCTATCAGGCTATGGAGAGTGGGGGAGGGGATCTAGGGTGATTCAGAATCTTCCTGAGTGACTAAGAGGGTGATGGTGCCATTTGCCAAGGTGGATAACACAGAAGTAGGTACAGATTTGAAGGCAAATCATGAGTTTGGGGTGGGGGGGACTTGTTGGGCTGAGGTTCATGGGGAGAAACATGCAAATGGAGGGGGCTGCCAGCAATTAGGTTATGTTGTGCTTTGTACATGGGGTGCCCAGACAGTGCCAAGCCATGACCCTGGACTAGCCCAGAGGAAGGGGACTTTTTTTTTTCCTTTAAATTTCTGTTTTTACTAATTTAATTAATGTTTTAAAAATTGTGATTTGGGTGAAAGTTTACAGAGCACATTCATTTTCCATACAACAGTTCATATATATTTTGTTTCATAACATTGATTGCAATCCCCATCATATAACAGCTCTCTTCCCACTTCCTCCCTGTGGTTACCCTTCCCCTGTGTCCTTTCCTATGCATTCCTGCCCTCTGAGCTGTCTCCCTGTGCAGATACTACCTTTCTGATCTCCCATGGTTGATGGTTCTAAGGAGGGTACCTGGGAGCTCTGGTGGCATAGTACCTACTTGGTGTAAATGTTTACCTTATATGCCTGTCTATTGTTTGGCTGGAAGCCACAGGAGTAAGTTCCATTCCAGGCCAGAAGGGTAACTAGGGGCCATAGTCTCAGGGGTTTTACCAGTCTCTACCAGAACAGTAAGCCTGGTCTCTTTTATGATTTTGAGTTTTGTTCCACATTTTCTCTCACTGTATCCAGGATCTCCTACACTGATCCCTTTCCAAGTGGTTGACAGAGGTAGCCAGGCACCAAGGGTCTCTGGCACTGAGACTCTTCACAGATTTATTGTGGCCCTTGCAGAGGGCTAGGGTGGAAATATGGGACTCATCAGAGATGATCATTAAAGCTGCATAGGAGAGTAAAGGAAGAGGGAAAAGAATGAGAAAGAGGTTGGTCCTAGGACTCAACTTTGGATAAAGCTGCCCTTGAAGGAAAAGGAGAAGGAAAATCAGATGAGGCTGAGTCAGAACAGCCAAGATGGTGGAGGGGAAGTTTCAAGAAGCAAATGAGAGAGTGTCAGAGGCTGCTGGCCACTGGATTTGGCAATGGGGGTGACCTTGTGAGAGCTGCCTCAGTGCACAGTGGGGGTGGGGAAGGATAGCAGAGTGGGGGAAGGAGTGGGAGGTGAGGAAGTGGAGACCCAAGTGTGAAGCACTTTTTCAAGTGAAAGGAAGGTGTGAGATAGAGCAGATTGTTGATGACAAGATAGGCCTTAAAACAGTTTCCTTTGGAAAGAAGAAAATGTGGGCATCTTTAGAGGTTGATGGGATGGAGAGGATACAGATGGGAGCTGCTGGGTGGGGAGTCCCTGAGCAGAGGGAAGTGGGCAGGGTCCAGAGCTGGAGTGGGGTGAGGCCTTAGCCTGGGGAGAGTGGAGAGGAAAGAAGGGTTGATGATGTAGAGGGTGGGTGGTTTCTGGGGATTCTTTCATCTTGGGGCCAGAGTCATGAAGCTCTGAGGAGTAAGTAGACAGTGCAGTATTGTGGTCAAAAGCACAGGTCTCAGCGCAGACCACTTGGGTTCCTATTCTGGCAACAGCTCAAGTGCAGTGTGGCCTTAGGCTCATTGCTTAGCCACTAGGTATCTCAGTGTCCTCGTCCGTATAATGGAGGGAATGATCCCTGGTGGTGCAGTGGTTAAACACTCAGCTGCTAACTGGAAAGGTTGGCAGTTCAAACTCACCAGCTGCTCTGAGGGAAAAAGATGTGCAGTCTGCTTCAGTAAAGATTCATAGCCTTGGAAACCTTATGGAGCAGAGTCTGTATGAGACAGAATTGACTCAAAGGCAATGGGTTTGTTTTTTTCCTAACACCAAAAACCGAACTCACTGCCGTCAAGTCGATTCCGACTCATAGTGACCCCCTTTGAATTTCCAAGGCAGTAAATCTTTATGGAAATAGATTGCCAGGTCTTCCTTCCATGGAGTGGCTGGTGGGTTTGACCCTTCTGGTCAGCAATCAAATATGCCTTAGGCACTATGCCACCAGAGTACCTTTATTTTCCTAATGAAGGGTAATAATAATATCTACCTCATAGTGTTATTATGATAATTAAATGAATAAATATATGTATTAGAGAAAAGCCTGACACAAAATAAGTGCTGCTATTAGTTTATTTATTTATTATTATTATTATATTAGTTATTAAACAAGTAGCTAGTGTCATGGTGTAGGTGAGGGTATTGCTTGTGGCTTTGAAAAAACTTGTCTACACAGCCCTTCAACAATTCCTAATTCTGCATCCTGCCTGCCCTCCTTGACACTCTATTTCCAATGCCCCCCATGCTCCCCAAACTGTGTCTAATACTGTGGGTGTAGACTCACTATCTCAGCATTCTGAGACTGCCACCTCCCTTGATTTGGAAACTAGGCTCCTTTCCATTCAAGCCCAAGATGATCACGGGCCAGGTTAATGACCAAATGACATCTGAGTTGTCTCTGGTGCCTATAATCACTTCAACTTCCCCAATGCACTTGCACAGTTAGTTTAAAACTACAGTATAATCCCAGAAAGAATTCCCAAAAGATAGCAGAAGTGGTTGAGGATGAAGGTTGAAGATGAGACTTAGGACAACACCCAAAATTAAGAAAGTGGAGGAAGAGCAGTGGTCAGAGCCAGACAGCAGCAGGCAGAGAGGGAGGAGGAGGAGAGGCCTTGTTCAGGTCAAAGTGGACAGTGGGAGTTGGGGGAGGGTCTGAGTGAGTGCCTGAGGTGGCAGGAAAACCTGTAGAGTGAGCTGCAGAGGATACTAGGTAGAGCTCATCAGCCTGCTTTGTGGGCAAGACACTTCCCCTCTCTGAGTCTCATTTGTAAAATGGGTGCATGTTGTTGTTGTTGTTTGCCGTAGAGTCAGCCCTGACTCATAGCGACCCCTCCTTGGGTTTCTGAGGCAGTATCACTACGGAAGTAGGATTGCCCAACCTTCCTTCCGAGGAGTGGCTGGTGGGTTTGAACCGCCAGCCTTCTGGTGAGCAGTCAAGTGCCTTAGGCACTATGCTACCAGAGCTCCTAGGGGCTGAAGTGGGATGGACTAAGAGATGGGTGGCATCTTGATAAGGTCATTAGTGACTGAGGTTCTAGCAATTTCAATTCAAGAGAAGCCTAACTTTTATGGACACCTACTATGTGCCAGGCATTTTACATTTCCCGTCTCTGTGAACCTCACCACCAGCCTGTAAGGCAGGCATATGAGCCCCATTGTAAAGGTAAGGAAATTGAGGCGCGGCTTGGGAGATGACTTTGCCCAGAGAAGCTGAGTTGAAGTTTGAATGAGGTGTACCTGATTTCTTGCCGGCCCTTCCCAACAGGTGGTACTTTGGAAAGATTGGGCGGAAGGATGCAGAGAGGCAGCTGCTCTCTCCCGGCAACCCGCGGGGGGCCTTTCTCATTCGGGAGAGCGAGACCACCAAAGGTGAGGGAGGCACCAGGACTGGGCCCAGCGTAATAGGGTGGGGCCAGTCCTCTCAAGGAAGACTGGGCAATCTACTCCCGTAGAGATAAAGCCTGGGAAACTCAAGGAGGGGTCGCATCCACCCAATGGCAGTGAGTTTTGTTGTTGTTGTTGTTGTTGTTAGGACGGGCGGTCGGGTGGGGCTCAGGACATCCTTAAGACTGCCTAGGGCTGGTCTCGGGGGCGGGGCCAAGACTGCGGCTGGGTTACAGCGATGGGGCCACTTGGAGGCCTTTGCCTTTGGAGCCTCTCCCGGCTCCCAGGCTGTGGGAAGAGAAGGAAGCCCACCCGAAGTGCTCCTCCCCCACAGGCGCCTACTCTTTGTCCATCCGGGACTGGGACCAGACCAAAGGCGATCACGTGAAGCATTACAAGATCCGCAAGCTAGACACTGGCGGCTACTACATCACCACGCGGGCCCAGTTCGACTCGGTGCAGGAGCTCGTGCAGCACTACGTCGGTGAGAGCAGGCCCTCAGGGCTGGCGGGCGCTTCAGACCCCTAACAACCCACTGACGCGCGTCGTTCGGATGGAAGACTGAGAGTCAGAGAAGGGTAGCGTCTCCCAAAGCAGCAGTGGCCTGGCCAAGATTAGAATCCGGGTGTCCAAGCTCCTAGCCTAGGATCCTGTTCTGTGCGATTCACCAGAAAACTGAGGCGTCCATGGCCAAGTGGCGCCCTCTAACCTCTCAGCGAGGAATTAACCAATTTCCTACCTCAAGGCCCGAGTCTGTTGAAACTTTTCTAAGCTTTTGTATGGCAGGTGCAACTCGGAAATGGCCCCTGTCCTCAAGTAGCTTACAGTCTGGTCAGGGCAACATACAATATAAACGACAAAAACAAGAATAAAAATCCACACTGAGTTCTTTCTATGTGTCAGGCACTATTCTAAGCTCATTACCTGTAATGATTTTTTTTTTCCTTATTGCAACCTCATGTGAGGTTACTAGGCTAAATAATTTATTCAGGATACCCAGATCTTAAGTCGTGAAGCCTATAATAATGCTGTGCTAAAGCAGAGAAGCGGGCCACCAGGGCCCAGGTGGAAAGAACTGCCCAGAGGCAAGCAAAGAGGACTTGCTGGGCAATAATGCAAGCCAGCCGGAGCCAGACCATGCCAGCTTTGAATGCCCCACCAAGGCCGTAGGACAGGCAGGGAGCTCTGCGTGGGTGGTAACAGACACTGCAGTGTACTTTGGTGAGAAACTATGGCTGCTGGGGCAGCCTGGATGTCAGAAGGCAAGGCAGGATGAGGGTCCATTAGGAGGCTGTGGCTACCATCCAGGTGAGAGGTGAGGGTGCTCTGACTGAATGAAGCAAAGCAGGGAGTGAGGAGAAGCACACAATCCCAAAGCTGGATAGAAAGCAGAATAGGCCTGACTTGCTGGAGGACTGGCTGTTGGGTTAAGGAGGAGGTGGGAGACAGTGCTCTGGTTTCTGCCTTGATTAGTTAGGTCTAGGAGGAAATTCACAGAAGGGTGAAGTCATTATGTCCATGTCTTTGCCTGGATTCCCTAACCTCTTTCCACCTGTTAGGATCCCACCTTATCCTTCAAGACTGAGCTGGGAAAGTCCCAATCCTTATAGGGATCATCTCTTCCTCTTGATGCCATCTCCCTCCCTGGGCACCAACCATCATGTTCAATGACTCCATTGCCAGGCTGCCTTCTCCCCTGGCCTGTGAGCTCATCTGTGGCTAGTTTCTTATTGTTGATCTTGGGGTCTATTGTGGGGGCTGGGGTGCGATGAGGTGTTTGTGGAGGCCCTGGTCCACCTGTGACCTTCATTCTTCCCGGGTTCCAGAGGTGAACGACGGGCTGTGCCACCTGCTCACAGCAGCCTGCACCACCATGAAGCCGCAGACACTGGGCTTGGCCAAGGACGCCTGGGAGATCAGCCGCAGCTCCATCGCGCTCGAGCGCCGGTTGGGTACCGGCTGCTTCGGGGACGTGTGGCTGGGTAAGGAGGTCCCAGGGGTCAGAGGCTAGGGCCAGGGCTGGCAGGTGGCGGGTCCTGATGCGCCGCCGCCGCCCGGCAGGCACGTGGAACGGCAGTACAAAGGTGGCGGTAAAGACGCTGAAGCCAGGCACCATGTCCCCGAAGGCCTTCCTTGAAGAGGCGCAGATCATGAAGCTGTTGAGGCACGACAAGCTGGTGCAGTTGTATGCGGTGGTGTCGGAGGAACCCATCTACATAGTGACCGAGTTCATGTGCCACGGTGAGGCGGGGCCAGGGGCGAAGTCTGGGTGGGACAGGATTTGGGCTTGGGGATGAAGTCCAGGTAGGTGTTTCTAGGTGAGGTTACGATAAGTGAGGGGATAAAGGACAAGAGGTGGAGTCCCTCTGGGGCCAAGTGAGAAAAGGCAGGGCCTGGTAGGGGCGGAGCCGAGGTTGAGTGGGCGGGTCCTGGGCAGCAAAAGCTCGATCTGCAGGGATCTGGGGCGGAGTTTGAATGGGGGCGTGGCCAGGGACAAATAGGAGAAGAGATTTGTTTTGGAGAGAGTTCTGGGTGTCTAGGAGCCGAGCCTGGGCAAGACCTGTGAAGGGATGAAGCATAGTGGCAGGAGATGGAGTTAGGAGGCAGATTTAGGTGAGAGGACTGGGACCAAGGGGGTGGGTGAGCTGCGGTCTGGGGATGGGAGGGCGAGGTCTTGCTGCTGATTTTCTGGGTTCTTTTAACCAGGTAGCTTGCTGGAATTTCTCAAGGACCAGAAAGGCCAGGATTTGAAGTTGCCCCAACTGGTGGACATGGCAGCCCAGGTAAATAGGGCTATTTGGTTGTGTCTCAAAAACCAAACCCGTTGCCATCAAATGGAATCCAAGTCATGGTGATCCTATAGGACACCATAAGGTTTCCAAGGCCATTGGGAGCTCTGGTATCATAGTGGCTAAGACACTCGCCTGCTAACCAGATGGCTGGCGGTTCAAATCCACCTGGGCAATCCTACTTCCGTAGTGATACTGCCTCACTGCCTCAGAAACCCAAAGAGGGGTCGCTATGAGTTGGGTTTGACTCGATGGCACATAACAACAAATCTTTATGAAAACAGCCTGCCACATTTTTCTCCCAAAGAACAACCACTGGTGAGTTTGAACCACCAACTTTAGAGTGCAGCCAAGCACTTACCCATTGTGTCACCAGGGCTCCTGTTATCTTTCAAACTCCTTTCCTATTAACAGTCCACAAATCTCAGTCTCCTCAAACATCCAGACTCTCCCTGGAAATGTGGGTCTGCCCACTGAACCAACTGTGGGATCTGAGGCAGGGCACTGCCTCTTTCTGAGCCTCAGTCTCTCCATCTGGAAAGTGGGTTTTCAGGTGGTCCCTGAAGGCCCTTCTGGCTCATACAGGCCATATGCTCTGAGCCTATATGGGCTTCCAACTCTTCATGCCTTGGTTCCTCAGATAGCAGATGGCATGGCCTACATGGAGCGCATGAACTACATCCACCGTGACCTGAGGGCAGCTAACATCCTAGTCAGGGAGCGGCTGGTGTGCAAGATTGCCGACTTCGGACTGGCCCGCCTTATCAAGGATGATGAGTACAATCCCCGGCAAGGTGCCCTGCCTCACGCCACCTCCTGAGAGCTCCCCAGGGCACTAAGGGGCTTCCATGAGGCCCCACATACTCAGGAACCCTCCCCCACCCCAGACCATCTGCGATATCCCATCCTGATCTTGTAGCACAAGGGGCATGTTCAGGTTCAAATCCCAACTCAGCCACTTACCAGACATGTGGCCTTGGGCAAGTCTCTTAATCTTTGTGAGTTGCCTTTTCCCATCTGTAAAATGAACATATTCAGACAACAGCAAGTCATCAGATATTTATACTAAACACCTACTATGTGCCAAGTACTGCTGTCATGCTTCAGTAAGACACAGTGGAGTCTAATAGTTAAGAGCGCAGATTCTGTAGCCAGAAAGCCTAAGTATAAATCTGAGCCACTTATTAGCTGTGTGATCTGGGCAAGTTACTCAACTACTCAGTGCTTCCTTTTCCTCATCCCTAAAATGGAGATAACAACAGTACCTACTTTATAGGGTTTTTGTGAGGATTAAATTAATTAAGGCATGTAAAGCCCTTAAAACAGTGCTTGACATGTCATAAAGGCTGTACAAGTACTAGCTGCTATTATTACAAGAATCATTACAATGTTTGTAAAGTGCCCAGCACTATGCTAAGCACATAGTAGGTGTTGGCCAGATACTAGATCCTTTCTGCTGTGCCCAGAGACCCCTATGTTCAGGGCCCCTAAGACCTCCAGTCCTAAAGATTCCATTTTCTTAATTCAACTTTTCTCAGGGACTTTCTCAGTAACTTTCCCTTCCCCCACAACCTCTCCAGGGACCAAGTTCCCCATCAAGTGGACTGCCCCAGAGGCTGCCCTCTATGGCAGATTCACCATCAAGTCAGACGTGTGGTCGTTTGGGATCCTCCTCACTGAACTCATCAGCAAGGGCCGAGTCCCCTACCCAGGTTTGCCAGGGGTGAAGAGATGGATTTGGGGAAGGGCTCCCTCCTAGCTGTTCCCTTGGCGGGGGGACAGGACACGGCCCCCTGAATAACATAGCCCCATCCTGCAGGCATGAATAACCGTGAAGTACTGGAACAGGTGGAGCATGGCTATCACATGCCGTGCCCCCCAGGCTGCCCAGTGTCTCTGTATGAGGCCATAGAACAGACATGGCGTCTGGACCCGGAGGAGAGGCCTACCTTCGAGTACCTGCAGTCCTTCCTGGAGGACTACTTCACCTCCACAGAACCCCAGTACCAGCCTGGAGATCAGACATAACCTGCTTTGGGATCGGCCACTTCTCTGGAGATGCCCTCCAGCCCTTGTCAATCCTCAGGAGTCTGGTCCCAAAGTCCCCAGGCTTTGAATCCTACAGAGTCCTAGCACATCAAAGCAGATAGGACATTGTCACCATGTAGGGCAATCTCTTCCTGTTACAGATGGGTCAAATCAAGGCTCACAACTCATCCCTCAACCTCTCTGGCTCCAAACACTGTTTCTCCCTTTTCCACTTAGGCCCCTTCAGCCTGCTAGCCTCCACCTACAATGCTCAAACCCTGTCTAGTTATTTATAAATTATGAATGTTCCATTCCTCCTTTACCACCTCTCCATGCTTTCCTACCCTCTGTCATCCCACTCTGGCCCAGGCCCCCAGAATTTGCCTCCTACTCTCAATTCTCTTGTGTCTGTCAGTTACAAAGGCTGTGGATGCTGTGGTCCAGGCCTGGACCTGCTGTGTAAGCCCAGGATTAAGGGACAGGGCTGAGGGCTCACCCCATTTTGATCATGTGCGTGTGTGTGTGTGTGTATAGATTTTGTAAATAAGAAAAATGACAATATGAATCCTCGAACCATGAAGTTCTCCTGAACTTGCCTTTTGAGGGATGGTGGCCAATGGGAGGTGAGTGGGGACAGTTTGGCTGTTGACAGTTTGGCTAACCAGAGGGGGAAGTGAGACAATACCCTACTAGTGCCTCCCAAGCATAGGGCATCCAAGGTGCGGAGTTTTAAGAGACCTGAATCTTGCTACTGGTCCCATGGGAGTTTAGAACCAGTTGATAAATGGACGCAGAAGACAGGCAATTGGAGATCAAAACGTCTCTTTCAAAACCAGCTGATGTGTTTTTTGATTTGTGTGCAGAGTGTGCTCATTCTTCACCTGATTCCAGCAGGTCTACCACCCACTACAGGCCTAACAGGATAACGATAGGCCTCAAGTGCAGGGGAGAAGACCACAGTGGAGACCCTGTAGCTGGCAGATTCCCCCAAAAGAGGACAGATTGAGGGAAAAGAGATGCCTGAGGGCTAGTTTAGCTCAGTGGATCTCACTGAGGGGTGGCTCTGTCGTCTAGGGAGAGTTTGTCACAACCACTGGGGGCTGCTACTGGCCTTTCATGGGCAGGGGCCAGGGAAGTGAAACACCTGTAATGTTCCTGTGCAGTGAAGACTCCCCTGTCCCACATGTGGCACTATGTGGGACTCGGGCAGCTGACTTTCTTCCTCCACAGGGAAACAAGAGGAGCAGGGAAGAGGTTCTCGGGAAATGTGTGTTGACTGCTTGGCTCACTCAGAGAATGGATGAGTAAAGGGTCTGGGAGCTGGGAAGCAGTAATGGGCAAATAATAACTAAGCATTGGCTCTGTGGAGGGCCCTTTGCTGGGCAGGACCCTGGGAACACAAATATGAAGAAGACCTGTCCTTGTCCTGGAGGAGTTCGCAGTCAGGCTAGGGAGGAACAACAGTGATAACAACAACTTGTTTCTTATGGGTCTGCTGAGTACCAGGTGTGTTTATGTCCATCTTTTCATTTAGTCCAGTCCTAAGCCCAGTTCAAAGATCAACTCGAGAAGACAAAGTCAATTATTGAAACGAAATGTGCAAAGACCTATAGTTAGAAAACCAAAAGGGGAGGACACACTCAGCATTTCTCAAGCTGAAAGAATAGAAGAAAAAATTCAGGCCTCGAGTTGCAATATTGAGAGATTCTATGGGCAAAATATTGAACGATGTAGGAAACATCAAAAGAAGAGGGAAGGAATATACAGAGTCACTGTACCAAAAAGAATTGGTCAATGTTAATCCATTTTAGGAGGTGGCATATGATCAAGAACCATATTGAAGGAAGAAGTCGAAGCTGCACTGAAGGAATTGGCAAAGAACAAGGCTCCAGGAATTGATAGAATACCCACTGAGATACTAAATGGATGCCACGCTGGTGGCACTCACTCATCTATGCCAAGAAATTTGGAAGACAGCTACCTGGCCAACTGACTGGAAGAGATCCATACTTGCACCCATTCCAAAGAAAGATGACCCCACAGAATGTGGAAATTATTGAACAATGTCATTAGTATCACATGCAAGTAAAATCTTGCTGAAGATAATTCAAAAACATTTGCAGCAGTTTATTGACAGAGAACTTCCAGAAATGCAAGCTGGATTCAGAAGAGGACATGGAATGAGGGATATTATTGCTGATGTCAAATGGATCTTGGCTCAAAGCAAAGAATACCAGAAAGGTGTTTCCTTATATTTTATTGACTATACAAAAGCATTCGATTGTGTGGATCATAACAAATTATGGATAACATTGAAAAGAATGGGAATTCCAGAACACTTGATTGTGCTTATCAGGAACCTGTACATACATCAGGAGGCTCTTGTTAGAACAGAACAAGGGGAGACTGCATGGTTTAAAATCAAGAAGGGAGTGCGTCAGGGTTGTATCCCTTCACCATACTTATTCAATCTGTATGTGGAACAAATAATCTGAGAAGCTGGACTATATGAAGAAGACCATGGCATCAGGATTGGAGGAAGATTCATTAACAACCTGCGATATGCAGATGACACAATTTTGCTTGCTGAAAGTGAGGATGACTCGAAGCACTTACTGATGAAGACTAAAGATTACAGTCTGCAGTATGGATTACAACTCAACACAAAGAAAATGAAAATCCTCACAAGTGGACCAATAAGCAGCATCACAATAAATGGAGAAAAGATTGAAGTTGTTAAAGATTGCATATTACTTGGTTCCACAGTAAACACCAATGGAAGCAGCAGTCAAGACATGAGAAGATGCATTGCACTGGGCGAATCTGCTACAAAAGACCTCTTTCAAGTGATGAAGAGCAAAGATGTCTCTTGAAGACTAAGATGGGCCTAACCCAAGCCATGATAATTTCAATCACCTCATATGCATGTGAGAGCTGGACAATGAACAAGAAAGTCCCAAGAAGAGTTGATGCTTTTGAGTTGTGTTGATGAAGAATGCTGAAAGTACCATGGACTGTCAAAAGAACCAACAAATGTGTCCTGGAGGAAGTGCAGTTGGAACGCTCCTTGGAAGCGAGAATGGCCAGACTTGGTCTCACTTAGTCTGGTCGTGTTGTGAGAAGGGACCATTCCTTGGAGAAGGATATCATGCTTAAAAGTAGAGGGTCAACGAAAATGGGGAAGGCCCTCAACAAGAGGGATTGACACATGGCTGCAATGATAGGCTCAGGTGTGGCAAGGATTATGAAGCTGGCACGGGACCAGGCAGTGTTTTGTTCTGTTGTACATAGGGTCTCTATGAGTCGGAGCTAACTTGATAGCCCCTAACAACAACAACAAAGCCTAGCTCCATGATTGGCCCCCATTAACAGATGAGGAAATGGAGGCTCAGGGGTGGTTGACGTACCAAGGTCACACAGTTGTATACAGCAGAGTTGGTATTTGAACCCAGGTCTTACACCAAAGTCCATGTTCTCACCAGACATCCCTGCTTCTAAGCTCTGAGAGGAGATCATCTCTGGACAGGAGGGGATCCTCCTTCTGTAAAAGATTCCCTGGAAATTCCCTCAAGTTGAGGGGCTTCAAGGAAAGGGGACAAGGTAGCCAATGCAGATTGCTCATTCCCTGTGGCCAGCCCTGTGCTGGGGGTTGCCAAATGGGACCAGTGAGATGGAGAGAGGCCAAATGGCTGTTCGGATAGCGTCATGAGGTGGGAACCTCAGGTCTGCAGACTCCAACTCTCAGGGCTCAAGGCTCAAACTCCAGAGGTGCTCAGTCTCTGGCCGACCAAACTCACAAGAGGCTGTGTACAAGCCAGAGGCAGTGTTTTTACCTACCATGGAGCAAGAGGATCAGGGCACAAGAGTACTGCCTGGTGCACATTCTGTTTCCAGCCCTCCCTAGCTGCACGATTTTGTGCACGTGATTAGTCCCTTTAAGTCTCAATTTTCTCATCTGTAAAATGGCAATAAAATGATCAGTAAATGTTAGCTGTCTTTATCATTACCTTTTACCGTTGTCTTACTGTGTGCCGGGCACCCTGCTAAAGGCATAAATATTGTTATTTAATTTTCATAGGACCCTATGAGGACAGGCCATTGTATTTCCATTTTACCGATGAGGAAACTGAGTCACAGAGAAGTAAATTAGCTTTTCCAAACTTAGAGGAATTAAGTGGCAGAGCAGGGGCTTGACCCAGGTCTGTCTGACTCCAAAACCAGTATTCTTAGTCTCTGTGTCCTTTTCCTGAGATTAGTATAGTCTCGTCTGTTCTACAGATAGCAGCATGCCCATTAGGCTTAAACGAAGGCCCAGCAGGGCAGTGAACCATCTGTAGTTCATTTGATCCCTCACTGTTCCTCAGCAGAGACCAGCGCCTCCTAGGCCTGGAATCCCTGTGTCTGCTGGTTCTTCTTTCCCTCGGGTGCAGCTGGATGAATTCTCCTTTGCACCTTTTTTTTGTGCATCCTTCTGTTCCCTTCAGATAGAGCACAATGCAATTGATTAGGCTCTGCTTTCTCAATTTCAATCACATCCTCGCCCTGCCTCCCTGAGATTACAGGCGGGTCACCTTGATTGCGGTTTGCACCGTTCACAAAACTCTTCAGTCGCTCGTTTACAAAACCATCTCTCGCCTCATTCACTCCCCCACCTGGCTCTTCTCCTCCGTGATGCATGTATTTTCCTGGCTTAAGACTCAGAGGGCAATTTTATCTTCAAGTTCATGGTGGAGGAGGAGGACATTTAATTGTTTAACACTAGGTGCTTCACATGCTTCATCTGTTGTGATCCTCACCACGAGGCAGCGCAGCAGTGTGATCATTCCCGTTGTACAGAAGAGGAAACGAAGACTCCAATGTCACACAGCTGGATGGCGGAGTCAGGATATAAACCTAGGTCTGTCTGACTCAGGCATCCCACTGTCACATTCCATATCTGATTGGAGCAGCATGAAAAAGCTTGATATTGACTGAGTCAGGCTGAGAAGAGGGTGTGGGCA